GGAAAGCCCCCAAAAAGAAGGGAGCCCAAGGGTTCCCCCCAAAAAAAAAAAAAAAAAAAAAAAAAAAAACTAAATCTGAATAAAACAAGACTTATTTTTGCACATAAAAAAAGAAACAAAAAAAGTCAAAAACATGCAACAAAGAATTTTGATTTATTTATTAGTCCTGCAACTCCTCTGGAGAAATTTACCATTCCAGATGTTGCAGATAAAAAAACGATAAAAACACATCCATCACTGGACTGAGTAAAAAACAGGAAAACTTTTACTAAAAGTCTTACTTTTGCAAAACATACCAAGAGCAATGTTTCCACTGGCATATCTAAACTTTCAAATGTCCCATTGAGCACAGAGGGATTCACACCCCCCACCCCCTCCAAAAAAGCTAATTTTTTTGTTTTGTTTTGTTTTTTACATGAAGCCATGCTAAGCCGAATGTCTTGCTGAGGTTTCCTGCGCGCTGCAGGTCACCACAAACAAGCCTAAGGAGGCTTCAGAGGGACTAATTAAACTAAGAGTCACATTTTTGTACTGTAAGAGGAGGCAGGAAAACCCAGAGTTCATACAAACGTCACACAGAAAGACTCCAGAATGGGATTCAAAGCACAGGCCTTGAAAAAAAACAAATAAGCATCTTTTATTGTATGAATAAAATGTAAATAGTTAATGTTACAAGGGACAACCAGGTTCGTGTCGCCCAATTTCCATGAGAAATGATGAAATTGTACAAGGCAACAACAGCCGAATCCAGTGGAAAATGGCTGAAGAGCTGGGAGCAAACTGGCATGTTGAGGGAAGAAACATGGAGAAGTGTGCAACAACTAAAGGAAAAAAGGATTAACACTAATAAACTAAAACAAATGCACAAAGAATGAAGAGAACGAAGCTAAACCCCAAACTCAAACACACCAGCATCATAAAGCACAGGTCCTACAGTTTCAGTGCGTAATAACATCAACATCACAATTCGATTGACTGATTTGACAAAGAATCAGATTTTTAAAGCAGTTCTGCTATGAGGTCTGTGTTTCGTCAGCAGAAACAAGGGAATTAAAGCGGATGTCAGGAACGCCATAAACCAAATTCTGCTCATCTCCTCCTTTATGGCTCAAACAAGACGATGGAAATGGACGGAAGTTCGGTATCATTGCTTTTGACGAGGACAATAAACAGGAACATTTCTCCGGGAGTAAAGCAGGACGAAGGCGTCAGTCCGAATGAATTCTCATCAGTTTTGCTTCCGCCGTCACTTCAAGTCACTGTCTTTTGTTTTTTTGTTGTTTTTTTTTCAGTAAAGTCTGTCTTTTAGCTTTTAGGAGATAATCTCTCCCTCTTAGCCTCGCTAAGTTTTATGTGTGGATTTTTGATCATGGCAGACATCATCACTGCTGTTGCAACATTATTCCTCTCTAAAGGCGTCTATTAAATAGTAAAAACCTCCCAAATGGGATTTATCATGCCGTCGACATAGTTTTGGATTTAAAGAGATATTGCAATAGATGATAATTCATAACTATATGAATTGGCATAGTAATTGATTTTGCTGATCAAAAATCCAATAGTGAGTAAAAGAACAGCATGAGTTTGTTATCTTTAATTAGTAATCTGGTCACATCATGTTGCTATCTCTTTAAAAATGTTCAAACTTTTCTGAAAACATTCCTGCGTCCAATCATAAACTTGGATTCGTCCTGCGTTGTGAGTGTTGGGGGTGGGGAGGTGATAACTTTGCTATAATTTTTTTTTTTTAAAGTATATAATTGTACAAAATTAAATGTAAGAAACTACTAATTAAAGAAATGACTTTTTATAGAGTTGTGCAGCTAACAACTTAGAATATCATTGAATGTTTTATTAAACACTGCGGTCATATTGTGATACATTAGGCATGTGTTGGATTAGTCCAATTGTTGTTTTTAGTGGATTTCAATAAAACCTGGAAAACATTGATAATTTTCTTTAGACTTGGATATATTTGAAGGAAATTATTCTAGTTAAGATCTGGCCTTTATGTATTTTGTAAACAGAAATTAACTAAAAAGGAAAATAATCCATTTTAACCAAGATATTAGGATGTTTTTTCTTCCCCCACGTAATCCAGGTTATGGATTATTTTTTCAATTTCTCTTTGGTCACTTCTACGTCAGACAAAAGTCACTTTAACCCAAAGCCAAAGTGAGAAACTGTCGCGTTGAATCAACGGTTCACATTTGAGCTACCAAGATTTAACCAAGTAGTTTTTACAGTGAACAACAGGAGGCGTATTGGTGCATTTTTTTCTATTTCTGCCATTTCATCATGAATTATTATCTACTAAAGTCATATGTTGTCATTTTCCCAGTAGTTTGAATCAAAAATTCTTAAAATTTATAACTGGTTTACATCTCTTTTCACGTCCAGACATCAAAACAAAGCCAGTTAAACATGTTATCAAAAAAAATTATTTTATTAACTTATGAAATTACACACATCAGGTAGCTATTTTGTTTTTCCCTCCTGGATTACATGTAACATCTGCCACATTTTCAACCACAAACAAAACCGGCGGCCGACAACCCGAACTCAAAGCTGAGCCTCATTAGGGGGGAACTATAAATGAGCTGCGCGTTGCACAGATTTACAAACAAAGAAACAATTCAGCTCATTTGAATGTCATTAAAACTAAATGCTTGCAGGCTGAGGGCTCTGCTCCGTTTCACGTTTCAGACACAAGTGCTGTTTCTGCTCACTCGGGGTAAACAGTCTTAGGTTTGCACCAAGCCTCACTTGAAACTATACGCCAGTGGTCCCCAAACTTTTTCCTGTGAGGGCCACATAACTTTTCCCTTCTCTGGTGGGGGGCCGGAAATTGTTGAGGGGGCGGGGGTTGCCTTTCTCTATTGATTTTTACCCAGAAAGCACATGGGCAAAAACCATGAGTGAAACGGTGCCTGGGACTGACTAGTATATATTCCATTGAGGGAATGTAACTTTAACATATTAATTTCTCATATGTTAACATAAAGGCTCATTTTGAAGTATAAGCTGCTACTTACAGGCATCGCTTTGAAGAATTCAACCTGACACGTGTGTTCATCTGCTCTACCGCTAGCAAACAACCGTACTGATTAAATAACATAAAAGTCAAGCAGTCCAACAGATGGCAGCGATGCGCCATGCAAAACAAAACACCCACAGTTTTCAGGAGAGCTCTCTGGTGGTTGAAGAAAAATCCACATATAAACTGAAAAATACAATAAATGAAAAAAAAAAACATCTGAATGCTCTCTGGTATTGTTCAGGGGGCTGGACCAAATGTGGAGGCGGGCTGGATCCGGCCCGCGGGCCATAGTTTGGGGAACCCTGCTACACTTTGGAAGCTTATGACAGAAGGAACAAAACCTGCTTTGACACCTTTTGGTTTTACGTTTGAGGATGACAAATAATCACCGTCCAGATGGGGGGGGGGCCTGAACTCATGGTGCAAAGCATGAGACACGTCTCTTAATGTGGATGAACTCCGCTCACGTAAAATACTAGCAACGATAAGAGAAAATCAATTTGTCCACTAGTCCACGTGGGACGTGGACTTGGGCACCCCGAGCCTTTTCCGATGCCGCCCTGGGTAACTGCCCAACTGAACAACCGCCTCTGCAGTCGGTTTGATGTGTTTCATGAATGTGCGTTGCGTATGCAGTGAAAATGCAAAGGGGGTGAGGTACAAGCTTCCATGCACTGGGGAGCTTTTGGGTGACATGCAGAAAAAATATTTGCAGCAGAATAATACCACAGCACGTCAACTCAATGAAGCACGGAGGTGGCAGCATCATGCTGTGGAGCCCTTGTTTTACAGAGTGACGTCAGTGTGGTTTTGCTTCCTGGTTATGTCTTAGCCTAGCACACACAACAAAGAAATAAATCAATAAAACACACAGTTGTAACGTGAGAAAATGTGGAAAACGTTCAAGAGACAAAAACCTTTCAGTTAGTGAATCTTGGGGAACAGGCTATGTTTTTTTTTTTCTTAATATTTACATAATGTGCTTTCTTGTGTGGTTCAAGCTTTTAAAACAATACTGATATTTGACTGAAACCAATAATTTCACAGCAGTTCTCTAAACGTGTGATAGTGATTGGAATTAGCTGCTGCTGCGCAAATTGTGTAAACCCAGCTGGTAGATCCAGCTGGATAAGCCATTCCCAAATTCATCTATTTTAATCTTCAATGATGAATCTCACTTCCATCCAAATTATTATAATTTATGTAATCACCGGATTAAGGAGGGCTGACTTCTCCCAAGGAGAGAGGATGATTTTTTTTTTTGAAGCCCATGCGTTTTTTTTTGTTTTTGTTTTTGTTTTTTGTTTTTTGTTTTTTTTGTTTTTTTACGCACTGAAATCTGACTCGACATTAAAAAGCCACCGCGGCGGATAGCAGCCACACAGTGCCGCGTTCCGCCCACCTCCACCCCTGTGTGAGCAACAGGTAGCTCCATATACGGACCAGAGAGGCGCCGCGCAGCCCTTCTGGCACCGGATCTGCAGAGGGCGCACGGAGGGGCAGTGCCACCATGCGCACTCCATCCGACGCGCCTCTCCTGAGCGGAGGCAACCAGTCCCTGCTGGCTTCCAGCCTCGCCGGCGACCCGACGATGGGAACCCCTTCGAACGGCACCCTCCACCCGAACGGATCCGACCCGTTCGCGCGCAACGAGGACGTGGCCCAGATCGAGATCATGGTCCTGAGCATCACCTTCGTCGTCGCCGTGATCGGGAACGTGAGCGTGCTGCTGGCCATGTACAACACCAAGAAGAAGACGTCCCGCATGCATCTGTTCATCAAGCACCTGAGCCTGGCCGACCTGGTGGTCGCCTTCTTCCAGGTGCTGCCGCAGCTCTGCTGGAAGATCACCTTCCGCTTCTACGGCTCGGACTTCCTCTGCCGCGTGGTGAAGCACCTCCAGGTGATGGGCATGTTCGCCTCCACCTACATGATGGTGATGATGACCCTGGACCGCTACATCGCCATCTGCCACCCACTCAAGACCCTCCAGCAGCCCACCAAGCGCTCCTACGTGATGATCGTCTCCACGTGGATGTGCAGCCTGGTGCTGAGCGTCCCGCAGTACTTCATCTTCTCCCTGAGCGAGATCCAGAACGGCTCCGAGGTGTACGACTGCTGGGCGCACTTCGTGGAGCCGTGGGGTTCCAAGGCGTACGTCACTTGGATGACCGTGGGCATCTTCCTGGTGCCGGTGGTCATCCTCATCCTGTGCTACGGCTTCATCTGCCACACCATCTGGAGGAACATCAAGTACAAGAAGAAGAAGACGGTGGCCGGGGCGGCGGGCAAGAGCGGCTTGATCGGGAAGTCGTCGGTCAGCAGCATCATGATGATCTCCAGGGCGAAGCTCAGGACGGTCAAGATGACTTTCGTGATCGTTCTGGCGTACATCGTCTGCTGGGCGCCGTTTTTCACCGTGCAGATGTGGTCGGTGTGGGACCGAAACTTCCAGTGGGACGGTGAGTCTCAACTCGGCGGGAGGAATTTCTCGGCGGTGAATCTGTTCCAAAACTGCGTTCCAAAAGTCCGTTTGCGCGCAGCTTTTTACGCACGGAATTACTCAGGAAAACAGCGCAAAAATATGCGAAAACGAATGCGTGTGCGTTATTAAAGATGCAACACTCGATGATTGAGAACAAGGCACTTCACGTTCAGTAAATATGAGCGTGATCAATCTTTCAACAATACCATCCAGGCCCACAATTTAGTGAAATAAGTGTATTTTGATAATTATAATTAATAGAATTTCATATAACTAATTAGTCCAATCGTAAAGTTATTCGTAAAATGCACAATGTAATGCTTAAATGTGAAAATAATTAATTAAAATCAGTATGTCAAAGGCATAGTGTATTCAATTATTGCAGTCTTTAAAAAAAAAAAATATTTCATGAGAAGCTGGTTGCAGCTTGTCATGATTTTGCCAATCAAACTGAGTGGGCGGAGTCAAACTGATCGGTTCAAGCTGCTGCGTAAATGAACTATTTAAGTCATAGTGGTGATTCTTTTTATTTTATGATATATATGAGCATGGGAAATATGAAATAGTTTGATAAATACTGAATCACAATTATATGATCATAATGCATAATAAAATCACATTTTGAACAATAATTTAATGTTTCACTTATGCATTTAAGAATGCATTATTTGTTTATTAATTGATTGTATTGAAATGATCAAATGAGTTTAACACATAATAATGATAATAATGATTTTTTTTTACATATAGATGTTACATTAAAGTCATTGTTTTTAAAATACATTTTTGTCAAGTTATAAATTCATGGCATGAGGTTTACAGGGCCGGATCTAAGACATAGTGGAGGCTGTGGGCTGAAGCCAGTTTGGTGCCCAACCAGCACAAGTGCATTTTATGCATCAAATTCAAAGATTTTTGTCGCTGTCCGTGTAAAAATTGAGAAAATTGCCTTTGCTGTTACATTTTTGAAGAAATTCCTTAAAAGCTGGTTACTTTCCCCAAAACCCAATAAATTGAAACACCTCAGAGCCACTTGGGCTCAAAAGCCCCCTTCAGAAACGATTTAAAATGCAGCGTTCACAAACATCCGTTTATTGTTTAGAAGCCACTGCCAAGGAAAGTAATTGTGAAATCATGGCCCCAAAGGGGGGCTTTTGTCTGAGAGGCCAGATGGGGGGCGGGGGGTTAATGATCATCTAGCTCTGAAAAAAAAGAACAGAACAAAATTTAAGTATTTTTATTCAGGTATGTTCTTGTGATATAACTTTAAATTAGGGCCTGATAATAAGGGGGGGGGGATTACATTAGAAGGTAAAACCTGATATTGTGAGTTAATGAATTTCAACTACATTTACACCAAAAATCAGCTGATGTGGTAAATTTCTCCACTCAGCTGAACATTTCTTTTAATAAGAGTATTCATTTGTAATCTTACCCTTACTTTAGCAGTCTCATATTCTTATTATTAATGTTTTTTTTTAATCCTTATGTGAATAAACAGTTGGTACAGCTGAATTTCCCCACTGAGTCAATAAAGGATATTTCTATTCCAGTTGGACTTGATTCCCAGCTACCATGAAATTTAGTGCTAATATTAAAATGAAGGCCTTTAATTCTAACAAAAACAACTATAAATGTAACTGTATCATTACCATTTAAAGGGTTACATTAGGAGCCATTCTATGCAGAATGAAAAAGAAAATTTCACGTATATCAATGCATGTTGCAGCTCATTAAAGCCTGTTGTTTTTACTACACCCCCCGCAATGTGGCACCAAATGAACTTCATCTATAGGGAGACTTCTGCATATCCCAGATGTTTCATGGATTAATCACTCCTTCCTTCCCTCCCCTTCGCTGTCTGTTCTGCAGATTCTGAGAACACAGCGGTGACTCTGTCTGCGCTCCTCGCCAGTCTCAACAGCTGCTGCAACCCATGGATATACATGATCTTCAGCGGCCACCTCCTGCAGGATTTTGTGCACTGCTTCTCCTGCTGCTGCAAGCTGAGCGCCGACTACAAGGAGGACTCGGAGAGCAGCGTCCGCAGGACGACGCTGCTGACCAGGATCACCAACCGGAGCCCGACAGGCAGCACCGGCAACTGGAGGGAGCTGGACAACTCCCCGAAAATGTCAGCTCAGACAGAGTAAAACAGCCGGCGGCACCAAGAAACACATGCAGAGTGAGCTCATCTGTGGGCATGTGTGATTAGGACAAAAAGTCCCACAGACTTAGAAATCCTAAGGGACAAGAAAGCATTCTGCATGGTGAAAATGGAGCTAAACAGTGTAAATAAGAATATATATATATATATATATATATATATATATATATATATATATATATATATATATGGGCCTGACATGATCCATGCCTACTGGCTAAAGAAACTCACTGCCCTCCATGAGCGACTGGCAGCTCA